GTTACTTTCAGAGTTTGACACAATCTGAATCATTTTGGAGCGGTAAAGAGCAAAAAAGAATGTCGCCGTTTTGCCAAAATTCAAATCATTTACATGGTGGTGAAGAGAAGAGGCAAAATCGTAGCTGCTTTCGTTTAATTAAGCTTCAGTAAGAGCTTTACGGCAACACAAATAGGCCATATAAGTGTCGAAGATTAACGGTGTTACAAGAGAGTAAATTACAAGGAAAAGATGTAAAAGAGATAAGGACGATAGATGTTTGATAGGAAAGCACGAGTAAACCACACCAGAGCACTCATCAACCACCCAGACTGTTGTTTGGTTGGTTGAGTAAAGAGAAGCACTTTGACACAGTTCAGTAAGGGCCACAGACAAATATAAATAATAGAGGAAAAGAAAAGAAGTAGGAGATGTTATTGATGCCCTCCTACTACCTGAGGGCAAAACGCTGTTGGGTCTTTGTATGAGAAAGGAGAAGCACACTGGCATAAAAATGTCCATTCAGCGCTGGAAACCAGACAGACAGACAGACAGACGGACAGACAGACAGACAGACAGACAGACAGACAGACAGACAGACAGACAGACAGACAACAATTGGAGGGGGGAGGGTTGAAAAGATGTAGGGGACATACCATTGATGCCCTCTGACTACCTCGGCAAAGCGTTGTTGGGCTACTGGAGTTGAAAAACACTAGCACATAGACATAATAACGTTCATATAGTCAGGAAAAAAATCCAGACAAATAGCTCCAGTTAACCTGGTAACGACCATATAGAGAGAGAGGAAAAACAAGACGGACAGAAATATAATTTCACCTAGTTTGATTTAAGGACAAGCACATCGAAACAGTTACTCGTTCTACTAAGTTCTGGTTAGTCTGAGATAAAAAAGAAGCACATCGACAAAAAAGCTGCCATAATTTAAGGATAAGGGTAAAATAAGACAAACGAATAAACACAACTAGAAGATAGAGAAAATTGAAATGATGAAACACAAATACCTCAATGCTTTGCCGACTTTTCATACATTAGATAATTTAGGAGGCGGGCTTCTTAGAAGTTCCCTGCTAAAGCCACCGACCTGGACTCAGATGCAGCATACCTAGCTCGACAAAGCAGACTCCTGTATTCTTTTTTAATGTAGGTGTTTTACAGACCCGTCGACACAATTTAGAGACGGGCTTCCGACCCGGGCTGAGAGAGGCAACATCACAGCAGAAAGACCGGAAGTTCCCTTGGTTTTAGTCTTCTTTGTCTTTTTTTCCTTCAATAATTAACAGAAAATTAAAACTTATCCCCACGACAACGGCCAATTAACAAAAAAGATAACATAAAAAACAATTAGTTCCGATTAAAAGAAACACATAGCAGGATCCGGACACAGAACAAAAAGGAGGTCTACACATAATTAAACTCCAAAACAAAGGCCTCTATTTGATTGGGCGGGGATATGCGTTATACAATAAAGGCTATTTATTATTATTA